GGTAGACATTTATTACTCTACGAATTCTTATTTTAAAATACCTCCTTTTGCTATCAGAGAACAAATTAGATTTTCAGAACATTCAAATAATCTGGAGCATAGAATTTGGCTTTCCCTTAGGTCTTGTGCATTAGCTGAAATTCTGACACCACCAAGCACAGCACCTAATACAATTTCTGCTAAAACGAAAAAGTGGAACAGACAATTAAGGATGAAAAAGAAGAAATGTGGCTATTCCCTATCCTTTAAATAATGGCAAAATGATGGAAATCTACCTAACAAGTAGCCAAATAGCCCTATAAACCTGGAATAGAGGTAACTTCTCATGCTATAACTATGTAATATTAAAATAGATTGTTTATTTTGGGTAAAGAAATGCAATATACTAAGTTGCTTGTTAAATTCCTTTCATTGGAATTCCTATTTGTTACTGTGACAGTTACACCAAATTGCTAAAGCAGAAGCAACTATAAATTTTCATTCATAATAGTTATCAAAAGTTGATTCGCTTTTTAAGTTTATTACTTAAAGATGAAAGTGACTTTTGCTCCATTTTATCCTTATTCATTTTTAAAAAGAATCATTTTTCGAATGGAAATGTTTTTGTGTAATTTCAGTGCAGAAAAATGTTGTTACTCTACTGATGAATGTCGAGCATTCCAAAACCTTCACTCTGACATCTGTCCAGGTGATAATTTTGATAATTTTGTAGTGACCCAAGCCTCAGAAGTGCTTAGAGCAGGGGTGTCAAACTAACAACGTCATGTGACATGTCATGATGTATCGTGACTTTTTTTTTCTATTGCCAGCAATGGGATGGGAGTGGTTTTGGCATGATGCATCTGGCCCACGGGCCGGCACTTTGACACACCTGGCTTAGAGGAATAGAAGAGACGATGTGCAGAAGAAGGGTCCTCCAAAGCTAGTAGTGTTCTTATACTCAGAAAGAGAACAGAAACAGTAGTAATAGCAAAGAAAAGCAAGAACAGGGCCCTCCAGACATCAATAGTTGACCTTTTTTTTTTTTTTAAATAGAAAATGAGATTTAGGAAATGATTACTTAGGTCAAAGTTGCCTTTCCTGTAAGACAAAAGGCCAAAATTTGTTCTCTGTCATTTTAGTGTGCAAGACATGGAATCACAATAAGGCAGAATTCAAACGTGATGCCAGAAAAAAAAATTAACCATAAAAGCAAGGGTTAGACAGCCATCTGTCAAGAATGTCCTCTGAGCAGCTGTTGGAGTTTTGACCTAAAAGGACCTTTCCAATTCTATAAAAATACATTTAGCCTAAACACAATTTAGACATGCCCTAATAAAGATTTTTCAGTTAATATGATGTTTGCAATTTCAGCGTAATTAAATACTTGATGCATGATTAGTTTATCATCGCTGAAAATACTCTTTAGGTTTCTTTAAAAGAAATTTATTCTACTGAAGGATGCCCAAGTCCAGCAGGTGGCAAGAACTTAGGATAACTTTCAAACCACTAACTAACATCTTTACATGTTCAAGTTATTGAGACAACCTTTTAGCAGTTTATTTATTCTAATACTTCTGGTTTTGAATAATATTGTTCTGGAATAATTTTTTTTTACTAATTCCATTTTCAATTGCCATTTCATGTAACTATTTTGAATTGGCCTAAGCCTAACTAATTTTTAAATGGAAAACCATGTTAATTCTTCTACAATAGAATACAAATTAGCACATGCTCAAATTCAGCTTTAGAAGAAGTTGCTACTAGAAATCCTTTTGAAATAATTTCCCTACTTATCCATAATAACAGGTCACAGGAAGGCATCACTAGAGACAAACAATTTGCATGCAAGCTCAAATCACCCTAAGTGAGTAACGAAATGTATGGTGAGATGTCTACTGCATATTAGTTTCCCATGGATAAAAAGTCTGTACACACTTACAGCTAATGTTAAGTGATGACTGCTTGTCTTCATATAGTCACATACAAAGGTCCTTATATAGAAGCTCTTGAGGATTTTGTTTAGCACAGTATATAACACATTTTGACTCAATTCAGGAAACATGAGATGTCAAAGTAGAGCAGACATGTCAAACTCGCGACGTCACGTGACATTGCGCAACATATCAGGACGGTTTTGCCATTGCCGACAATGGGGTGGGTGCAGCTTCTGGATGAGCATCTGCCCTGCGGGCTGGCAGTTTGACATCCCTGAAGTAGAGGGTTAATAATGATCTGCTAAGTTAGTTTCCATTGAAACAATTCTAGTAGTGCTTTAGGCAGTGGCATATCAAGTGGTAGTAGTGATATCTGCCTCAGATGCAGACCCAAAGGGGCTGCTGATGCTGAATGTTTGAAGAGGCCAATGGTGGGACTCACAGGATGGTGCCTGTGCACCATCTGTTATTTGGTAGTCAGTGGTGACACAGCAGTGAAGGAGAAAAAATGTGCCTTCAAGGTAGTTTTGAATCCTGGCAGCCACCCTCTGCAATGTGCTTGGCAGTATTTTTCAGAAATAGTTTGCCAAATCCTTCTTCCTAGGATTAAGAGAAATTAATGATCCGAGATCATCCAAATAGCTGTGTGACTAAAGTGGAACAAGAACTGTGAACTTCCTGTTTCTGATCTGAGGCTTTAACTACTATACCAAACTGGCTATTAGCACTGAAGGGGTGGGGATATTAAAAAAAAAAAAAATCTGCTCTGGATGTCAAATGTGCTAGATAGGCCACTGGCTTTAGGAAACATCCATCCTTTCCACAGCCCATATTTTATTTCATATTAATGAAAAAGATTTACTCCTTGTGACTTGGGTTTTTTTTTTTTATTAAAATCCCTGAACGTTATTAGCTAGAGACTGGCCAAGATGCAGCCCCATACAGTATATGAGATTTTGAAGATAAAACAAAAAAAGTTTTTTCATAATTTGCATAACGTAATATAGATAAACTTCAAATATAATAGTAGTAGTAGTAGTAGTAGTAGTAATAGTAGTAGTAGTAAAGTTGGAAGGGACCTTGGAGGTCATCTAGTCCAACCCCCTGCTTAGGCAGGAAACCCTATACCATTTCAGACAAATGGCTGTCCAGTCTCTTCTTAAAAAACTTCCAATGTGCCAAATATGAAAATAAACATATTTCCCATTCTTTTCTGTCTGGCTCTCTCTTTGCTATAATTTTTTTTTAAAAAAATGGTTAAACTTCTACCATTGTTACAATTTAATTTTATAACTTTGTGGAATATACAACATTGTTGCTTATTTCCCAAAACATGGAGTTAGTTGCTTTTATAAATATAGGAGAATGATGCCAATATTCCAGATGAATGAGTAACTACTATGCCTATTTTACTGCTCCATCACATGGTACATACCAGCTGCAAGGGAGCAACAGTAACAGAGGGCCTTGTTTCTTGCTTAAGTTGCTAAGCTTCCTGAATTCCTATAAGTGGCCATTGTCCACTACAGAATACTAGCCTAGATTGGTCCAGTGGGGCTCTTTTTAACTTCTTACATACTAGATAAATATGTAAATTGGGTTGGTAAGAGCTGAAACTATCAGCTAGCGCCTTCTGATCAGGAATTTTACTAAGGCAATACAAGTGAAGGCATATACATTTACATTCTGACTAGCATACCAAATGGGTGAGTTGGTGGGAGAGAGCTTGATTTTTCAGTCTATAGAACAACTGCTGATTGTTCCTATTTTTCAGTTCTGAGGGAACATTCTTTTTATGCAGGATTAGGCAACCTGGTAGTTTGCAAATTTTTTAAACCTCAATTTCCACCAATCTCAGCCAGCAACACTAATGTGAAGGAACTGTAAAAACTTTCATTAAAAACATCTGGAAGGCCAAAGGTTTTCTGCTTCTGTTATTATAAAATTATTGCTATTTTTAAAAAGATTTCTAGCCAGAGTCCAATCTGTTCACTTCAGATACAGATTAAAATAGAGATGGGCAACCTGCAGCCCCCTTTTCATAGCCCATGAAAGACTATGCCAGGGGTCCTCAAACTTGGCCCTTTTATGACTTGTGGACTTTAACTCCCAGAATTCCTCAGCCAGTGTGGCTGCCTGAGGAATTCTGAAAGTTGAAGTCCACAAGTCATAAAAGGGCCAAGTTTGAAGCCCCCTGGACTATGCTATAGAAGCAATCTACCAAATAACTGTAATCCAACCTTCCATTCAAAGGAATGAAAATGATGTATTAATCCTTCAATGGCCTTATTGTAGCTCAAACTTGCGACGTCACATGACGTCACGCAACGTATGGCCATTGCCGGCAATGGGGAGGGCGTGGCTCCGGTATGATGAAACCGGGCCGTGGGCCGGCAGCTTGACACCACTGTTGTAGCTACTTAAAAAACCTGGCCCCACTCTCAAAAAAAAAAAAAAATTCTTCCAATATAGTCCAGGAAGCATTCACTAGTTATCTTGATTCTACCAATCAGTACTAGAAATAATAAGTTGTTTCTACTTTGGTCAGCCCACCTGAAGTTCTCCAGATGTGCTGAACTGCAATTCCCATCCCATCCCTAGCTGAAGGTGATGGAAGATGTAATCTAAGCCATCTGGAAAATGTCAGGTTAGGGCAGATTGTCATAAATCATGGGGCTTGGGAGCAGCTATGGAAACTGAGCCAAGCCATTTTTGCAGTGTTTTTTAGGAAGCAAATAGCATTCCAATGGCCAGAACTTGCATCTTCTTGCTTCATAAAGAAACTGACTGTCATCCTGCTTTCCCTGTGAAAAACAAATGCAATAAAGGAGAGGAAAACCAAGAGTGAGACACTAACTGATCTGCCATTTTTGTAATCGCTTATTGACCAGTTGAAGAAAGCTTAGGCCAGCAATTTGGGGAAACTGAACACAGGCAAACTATACCACTTGAGAGCATGTGAGCAGCTTGAGGAGGAAATAAACAAAAAAACTGATTCAAATTTTGTCACCCAAAGAAAACATTAATGAAACCAATCCCCACAATTCTACTTGTATATATGCTAAAACATTGAACAATACTGACCTAGCAGCAATGTAGAGGGTTCTGTCCATTATCATGAGCAACTGGATGTCAAGTCTGTGCCTTTGTGGAGTGTTGTGTCCCGGTTTGTGACCCACGAACACTGGATACTGTTTTGTATCTACAAAAAGCACAGAAGATTGAAAGAAAAGCAATAAAAAACTAAATACAGTGAGAGACAGACTCCTAGTTGTATAATTAACATGGTTCTGATTATAGTTAAATTGCACACAACAATCTAATTGATCACAATCTTCTGACTGTAAGAAAAGTGGCTGTCATATTCATCGTCATGATCAATTATCATTGTTTTTTTCCCTTCAGAATATGATTTTTTATGACCCTTTAATCCCTTTATTTGGGGTGGACTTGGGGCAACTGAATGGAGCTGGGTGTTTACTGGCCAGATGCCCTTCCTGATACCTATGTGGAGTTTGCAGCAGATATTTTCTGTTTGCTTCCTGATTGAGAAACATCTGTTTGCTGCCTAAAATTAAACTTTCAGCTTTCCAAGTGGGAGGTAAGCATCTTCACCTATAGGCCACTGTGCTTCAGAACATGATGCTCTTCATAAATGCTACATACATCTTCCATTATCCTTGACAAGTACCTATAGTTCGTAGTAGTGGTGATATTTGTAGTTCAACATATCTAGAGTGCCTATGTTAAGATAACTTCCTTTGGGGATTTCAATATTTAACGCTTATATGTAGCTTTCTTGTCAATCTTTGCAGCAATCTAAATAGTTAGATTTAGCTTAGAAAAGTTGTTCTGTTAGGATAAAATGCTGCCCTGGAATCTTATCAATTAATCAAAAAGCCACAGAGTCTTGTGATTAGATGAAATGGACATGTCTACAGGCTGCTTGCAAGGGTAACTTACTAACCATATTTCTGGGAAGGATGAGACAGACTCATTCAATGAACTTTTCAATAATTTCAGTTTTGTACTGGTGAAGTGAATTTAGTTTTATTTCCTTTGCAGACTGTCTTGTAAGGATTTTATTGGAAGTTAATTAAATTCTGTTTTACTTTATTATGTTACAAAATGTCTCAAGTGCCCTCAAATGGAGGCAAACCTTGTAAAATTTTAGAAGCAATGGGTACTCTGTCCAATTCAATAGGCTTATGTTCACATACTTCTTAAAGCTTAAGTACACTAGAGCAGTTCAGTATCTTATTGCTCAACATAAGGAAAAAAGAACCTGCAAATCCAGAAATCATGTCAAAATTTACTAATCATGACCACCCACTAAAACACAGTTTTCCTCTATTCATAGCAGAGGACAAGTAAACTGGTGTGCAGAAAACACTTATGTGCCTATTCTCCCTCCACTCATAAAATCTAAGCCCCATTCCAATAATGTTACTTCTATTTTACCCCCCCCTCTCTCATATGCGTGTGTGTGTGTGTGTATGTGTGTATGTGTGTGTATCCGTAGCTGAAGAATAATTTCCCAAATCTGATTTAATGGATTTATTTCTTGTCCTTCTGCTTTAACACTGAAATACAGAATTAATACAACAGGAAACTTAAAATCAGTATTACTGGGATGCATTTCTTTCTCATATAACAGTGAAAAAGTTTAGGATTTGACTTGGTGTAATGCTGGTTAAAGTTCAATGAAATGTTTATGCCTAGAGTTTGAATGAAATCTGGATGCAGGTACTTTGGAAAGTTGATTTCCTTAATTTAAAACACAAGAGCTCAGATTTCCATGTGGATTGTCAATGTGAAATGAGATGAGTTTGTGCTCTCAAATCAAATTCAGCGTTTTCTTTTAAGGCTTGCACCAAAAACATCCTTATGGGAAATTCTTCAATCTCTAAACTTGAGAAAGCCCAGGACAATGTCAATTTACATTTATTTTGGTTGGTCTACTGTATAAGTTCTACTGCATAGGCCACACTGACTGAAGAGGAATTGTCTTGAGCTGCCTAGAAAATATATAATATAGCTAATCTATATAAATCACATAACAATGTTAAAAGTTTATGATCTTGTGGGGCCACATTACTGACTGCCCAGGGCCACATGCTGCCAGTAGGCCAGACACACCTGGTCTTCTTTGTCTTTAAAGATCAATTAAAGATTATTTCTTCAAAAAGAGGTTCATAGGCATGTCGTTGCCATGATGAAAAAGAATCTTCTGAGATCTCTGCTACCTAACTATAACTTCTCCTATATGTTTATCAAATTAAAAAAAACATTTTGGATTTTTCATTTGTTATTCTGTTTAACTACAGTACATCCCCATTAAATATTATGAACTATGAAATAGTTAGAAACTCTTCAGTGCACTCCGGTGGAATTCTCATACTTAATTTGTAAGGAGGAGGCTCTCAATTTGTAGCACTTGTGACAGTGAAGTTCTACATTAAGCTTTTTATAATCTACCTTTTTAAAGCTAAACATTGCAAATGTTCTCTCTGGCTCAAATGGAAACTATTTTGTTTTCTTTAGTTCTGTTTACAATAGAATTGCAAAGTTAAAGAAGTGGTATGTTTATTGCTATGTATGTGTGAATAAACAAACAGCTATAGAGCAAGTTAGTTAAATGAATAATCTTTCAATTCTTAACATTATGTTCAGAATTGTGCTAGTTTGGATCAATGGCAAAGCTTAATTTCTCTTGTTTCACGGAATGGAATGCTTTTGTTTTGGCCGCCTCATTTTGATTATAAAAGAAGTATTTTTCAAGAAAAAGATGTGACCGGAAAGTTTAACGTGCTTCTCATATCCTTACCACTTTCTACAGGGGGACGATCGAGAGCATCTTGTCACACAGCATCACAATCTGGTTTGGAAGCATCACTGCTTCAGACAGGAAGGTGGTGCAGAGAGTGGTGAGGATGGCCAAAAAGATCATTGGCAGTTCCCTCCCTCCCATCCAGGACATAGCATATAAGCATTGCTTGAGCAAGGTTCGTAAGATTATCTGGGACACTACACATCCTCTTCATGACCTGTTTTCCTTGTTACCTTCTGGGAGGAGGTTTCGTGGCATATGTAGCAGAACATCCAGATTCAGCCATTGTTTCATTCCATATAGCATTAACCTTGTGAAGTCTCAAGCTTCCTCCTTCCATTATATATTCAAGATGGACAGTATTTAATATTTATTTGTTATGTAATGTGTGGGTCTATACATATGTTGTATATAGTATATTTAGGTGTGTGTCATGTATGCGTTTCACTTTGAGAGTGGGCAACTAAATTTCATTTTTGATGTGTGCCGTTGTGCCCACAGTAAAAAAATGACAATGGTTATCTTATCTTATCTAAGAATCACATGAGTCTGGAGAAGAACAAGATTTATAGATATAAATGATAACTAAAAGTTCTTCTACATCAGGGGTTCTCAACCTTGGCAACTTTAAGACTTGTAGACTTCAACTCCCAGAATTCCTCAGCCAGCTTTGCTGGCTGAAGAATTCTGGGAGTTGAAGTCTACAAGTCTTAAAGTTGCCAAGGTTGAGAACCCCTGTTCTACATTCATATACTGGCCCAGAACACAGTGGTTTTGTGAATTGTTTTATATCAAAAAATAGTGATAGGGAATGTGATACCATGACAGGGCACAGAGGAAAGGATATTTTTGCCTGGCTAATGCTTGCAGTTCTTAATCTTGCTTGTCAACAAGCTATGATCCGATATTGGGAAGGGATGGAGAAAAAAAATATTCCTGCCATTTTCCTGCCTTTTATACTTACAGTTGCCATGTGAAATACTGATTGGCTCAGGATCTTCTGGGAAATCGGCCCCAACAAAGTGTAGCAGTGTGAAATATAGCAGCAAGGCTTCTGACCTCATAGTAGTTCAACTGGGAAACTATTCCTTCAATTCACCCTGTGAAAGACAAACAAGATAGTAAAAGTCTTTATTACCAACTGGTACTTAAGACACTATAAACCACTCAACATTGATAAAATAACAACAATAACAACAACAACAACAACAATGTTGGAAGGAACCTTGGAGGTCTTCTAGTCCAACCCACTGCTCAGGCAGGAAACCCTATACTGTTTCAGACAAATGGTTGTCCAGTCTCTTTGTAAAAACTTCCAGTGTTGGAGCATTCACAACTTCTGGAGGCAGGTAGTTCCACTGATTAATTGTTCTAGTTGTCAAGAAATTTCTCCTTAATTCTAGGTTGCTTCTCTCCTTGATTAATTTCCATCCGTTGCTTCTTGTCCTGCTTTCAGGTGCTTTAACATTGGTAACTTTTACTAGCATGGGCAGCCATAGCATGGTGCTTTACAGCCCTCTCCAAGCAGGTTACAGAGTCAGCCTATTGCCCCCAACAATCTGGGTCCTCATTTTACCGACCTCGGAAGGATGGAAGGCTGAGTCAACCTTAAGCCGGTCAGATTCAAACTGCTGGCAATCAACAATCAGCAGAATTAGCTTGCAGTACTGCATTCTAGAAAGGCTGAGCGCCAAAGAATGGAGGCCTTTGAACTATGGTGCTGGAGAAGACTCCTGCGAGTCCCTTGGACTGCAAGGCGTTCAAACTGGTCAGTCCTAGAAGAGATCAACCCGGCTGCTCTTTAGAAGGCCAGATCCTGAAGTTGAAACTCAAATACTTTGGCCACCTAATGAGAAGGAAGGACTCACTGGAGAAGGGCCTAATGCTGGGAAAGATTGAGGGCAATAGAAGAAAGGGACGACAGAGAATGAGATGGCTGGATGGAGTCACTGAAGCAGTAGGTGTGAACTTAAATGGACTCCAGAAGATGATAGAGGACAGGAAGACCTGGAGGAACATTGTCCATGGGGTCGCGATGGGTCAGACACGACTTCGCAATTAACAACAACAACAACAACAACTGCATTCTAACCACTGTGCCACCATGGCTCTGTGGTAACCCATATTGGCAGAGGAATTCTGGGAGTTGAAGTCCCATATATTAAAGTTGCCAAAAGCACTGAGTAATAAAGGGAAGCTTCTCCTGCCTTTTCGTTATAAACAGCAAAATATTATACATATTCATTTTAAAAGAAAAAGAGTGGTCGGTCAATAAGCAATTAATACAAAGCAGCAATGGCATCTTCTTTGCCCCTAGAAGTTGATATGAACTACCAGAGAACATTTTCTAACTCCCATGGGTGTTTTACTATCCAGTAAAAAATGGATAGCCCTCTGGGCGTTAGTTCCCGTAGCTAGTTTTAAAAGCCAAGTTAGGTGTAGTTATTGAATTAACCTAACTTTATGTAACGCATTGATTTTAATTAATTTGCTTAATTAAAAAAATATAAGAAGAACTTTGTTACACAAATTCTCACATGTAAAGTGATACCATAGAGAGTGTGGAACCTAGAGGATAAATCAGCATAGGAGGGATTTTAATTCTATTCTGTTCAGTGCTCATTAGTTTACAAAATTTCAAATTTTGATTTATGCAAAGGAAATGAAAGTTTTGCAACTAAAACAGTTGCTCTATGCCAGGGATGGCTAACAGGGTAGAAATAAGATCCTACCCCTGTGCTACCCTTTCTCTTGTTTTTTAGTTTCTATCATATCTTTATTAGTTTTATTTTTTATGTTGTTTTTTATAATTTTGTAAGTTGCCCAGAATCACTTCAACAGTGAATTGAATAGCATATCAATTTAATAAATAAACTGCTAGTGTGTCCTTTTGAAACTCTATCTAATATTAATACTTTTCCCTATGTTAAAACGTGCATTAATAAGTTTTGCTCCATTTCAGAATGAAATTTCACAGCCAATACTGGCTAATTTGTCCAGTTATAAACAGTGATTAATTCTGTGATTCAGCTACCGTATTTTCCGGTGTATAAGGCGACCTGGCATATAAGACGACCCCCAACTTCGGCGCCGAGTCGCTTGCCTAGAAAGTTGTCTTTTTTTTATTTTATTTTATTTTTTATTTATTTTTTTTTTTAATTGAAAATTTTTAACATTTTACAAAATAAATCCCCTCCCCAAACCCGCCCACCCACCCATACCCTCCCCCAACCCCAAACCTCCCTAACCCTCCCCTGAACCTCCCAGAGTTGATTACAGGCTTATCCAAAATATTTCAAAAGAAAAAAAAGAAAAAAAACTTAAAACACATATAAAACTTAAAACACCTATAAATCCTAAACAATCCTAAATACCTTAAATTAAATGAATTATTTCTAGAAAATAATAATAGACACATTATAATATACTCTAGAAATCTTCTAATCTTACTTATAATATTATCCATCCTTCTACATAAATTTCTTCCAAGACCAATTTTAAACACTACTTTCTTTAAACAATATAAAGTCTAGCATAAATCATAAACAAATCTAAATACATTTAGTTAAACAAGTTATAGTCCCTCCAAAACACAAATTTAAACCATCAGAACTTAAAACATTAAAACAAACAAATTATAATCAATCAAAAGCACAAATCTGAACATTACTTAAAACTTTAAACGTTAAAAACCCCACCCAAACACTAAACACATTGTAATATACTCCAATCCTTCTAATATCATAAATATTATTATCATTTTCATAAACTCCCCCAAAACACAAATTTATACATTACTTAAAACTTAAAGAAGGAAAAAAGGAAACAAGACACCTTTATACTCATTTAAATCTTATCAGATTCCATCCAAAGTAGACAGTTTATAACAAATTCCACCCACAAAAAACACTATAACAAATTCCATCCACCATAAACACAATAGATATTCAAATCTTCATCAATAACAAGTTACAACCACAAAAAACCCAGTCCTTATCAATCTCAATTGTCCATTTTCATTCTCCATTCATTATCATACTGATATTATTATCGTCAGCCTCGATTGTCCATTTTCGTTATAAAGCTTAAAACAAATGCTTTAGGATCTGTCCTCAAAAGCTGCTCCAAATTTTCTGAGTCTCCCAATGACTCAGAAGCCAGTACATGTGGGGATTCCTTAAGCTCCTTATTCTGTTGGTCTTTTTCTTTACAATTATATGTTGCACAGATTTTCCTCTGCCCCTTCTTCTCAACTTGTTGACGCCCCTCAGGCTGAAATTTCCCCTTTTTCATCTCAAGTGACCCTTCCATCCTTGAAGATTGCTCCAAAGGATTTATGGGTCTTGCTTCTCCCACAGAATCAGCAATCACTAGGTGTGAAATTTCATTACTCTTCTTCAGTTGCTGCTTTTCTTTACAGTTTTGTGCTACACAGGTTGTCTCCTGCTCCTCAATCTGAACATGTTGAGATCTCTTAAACAGGGGTTGCCCAATTTTAGAGTCTTCAAACTGTAATTCTACATCCATTTCTTCCAAAGTCTTGAACTTAATAGATGGAGATGAACATACCCCCAATACTGAAGTATAAAAATCTTTTGCTTGAGAAACAGTATTAAGTCTATAACATATTCCCAGGTAATTCACCACCATTCCAATCGGAACATCCCATCTAAACGAAATTCGTCTCATTTTAAGTTCATTTGCTAAAAAGGCAAACTCCTTTCTTCTTCTTAAAATTTTAGATGGGATCTCCTTTAAAATTATAACATCTTGTGAAGCAATTTGAAATCTCTTCTTATAAAAAGCTTGTATAATTTCATTGCGTAAAGATTTCTTCCCAAAGTAAATTACCACATCTCTTGGCAAATTCTTTTGTACTGCCACCGCAGAATTAACTCTAAATAGTTTTTCAATTTCACTAAGTATTCCTTCTTTTTCTTTATTCAAAATTACGGCAAAGTCCTTTGCAACCATCGAAAGTTGTCTTATACATTAGAAACTACCGTTATTTCCAGCATATAAGACGACCTCCGACTTCGGCGCAGATTTCAACGCTTTTGAAAGTCGTCTTATACGCCGGAAAGTATGGTATATGCTTTTAAATTATAACACCTAATGCAGTCAAGAAACAGACTTGAGTATTTCTCAATATACTATGAAATATCTTAAATTATGCATATGAAATTATATTACTTTAATTGCTTGTATTTAACTATACACATAATTTTTAAAATTACTAATTTAGGAATGCATGTAAAAGAGAGATGTCTTTTACATAGACATGGAACTACATTTTCAGAGCCAATGATGTTCACATCAGAAGGAAGCAGTTGCATGAACCATCATAAATACTGAATTTAAACAACTTAAACATGCACAAGAGTTGCTCATTCTTTGCATGTAATTAAAATAAATTTATTTTAAAACAAAGTCTGGGCTACAAAAATCCAGATAATCACAAGATGGCAGCAAGAAGCTATAGCCTTCCGGATTCCTTTGCTGCCAACTAATTTCTGCAGCCCAAATTTGTAACCCTGTGTAAATCAGGACTAACTCATAAGCAACTTTTCAGTTTTGATATTACGCAACCAGATTCGTTTCACAATTCATGCATTTTCAACTTCCCAACCTAATGTCCCAAACTGATTAAAGTCACATCTAGAAAGTTCCAAGTTGGAGAAGGAAGATGTCTATCAACATGAGTAGAAAGTCATCTTTACTATATGTTTATTGCCTTCCAAATCCCTGTTCAGACATTCTAAGAAAGAAGGAGCAGACCTCCAACTCTGGTTGCAAACCAAAATAGACCTTTACACTGTTTATTTTAGTAGGTGAAAAATACTGCCAATGGTGATTTTTCCCCCTGGAGTTTGTTTGTTTGTTTATTTATTTATTTATTTTATGAGACTTATATACCGCTTTAAGTGCAAGCACTCTCTAAACGGTGTACAGCAGTAAGCAATGTATTGGAGTTTATTTACATTATTTACAATATTTACATTGCTCCCAACAATCTGGGTCCTCATTTTACCTACCTCGGAAGGATGGAAGGCTGAGTCAACCTTGAGCCGGTGAGATTTGAACCACTGACCTGCTGAAC